GAGCGTTCAGCCAGTAAAGGTGAGGACCTGAATTCTGTGGCTAAGCCTTCCCATTCCCATCCCTCGGATAAGTCCGGCATATTTGTGCACGCTTGTAATTCCATTGCTGGAACATTGACATCTGTGAGCCCTAGTAAGAGACCCTGGGAGGGCTGCAGAGACGGCTCAGTGATTAAGAGCACTGACTGCTCTTCCAGAGGACCTGAGTTCAGTTCTCTGTAACTGCAGATCCTGCCGATCGGACATCCACACTCAGAGGTATATGCATATATGCAGTCAAAACACCAACGCACATAAAATAAAAGTAAATGATTTTAAAAAAGAGAGAGACCCTGTGAAAAAATAAAGTGGACAGCTACCCAGGAAGCCCACCAGAAATTGGCCCATGGTCTCTGACCAACAGTGCAAGCTTCCCCACTAGCTTCCAGGCACAAGGAAAGAAAGAAAGAAAAAGAAAGAAAGAAAGAAAGAAAGAAAGAAAGAAAGAAAGAAAGAAAGAAAGAAAGGAAAGATCAGGTTAGTAAGTAAGCTGTGTGGTGTGTTACTTTTCCGTGGAGGTTGGGAGAGGGAAGAACATTCAAATCCTTTCTCTCTCTCTCTCTCTCTCTCTCTCTCTCTCTCTCTCTCTCGGTATTTCTGGACCCATTAGTCAATTTATGACCATTTACCTCATGGATATCCTTTTTTTGTTTGTTTTTTTTTGAGACAAGGTTTCTCTGTTTAACAGCTCTGGCTGTCTTGGAACTCGCTTTGTAGACCAGACTGAACTGAACAAACAGAGATCCTCCTGCCTCTGCCTGGGATTAAAGGCTTGCACCACCCTGACATCAAAATAATTTCAAAAATTTCTACAAGCCATGCAGTCGTGATGGCCTATGCCTTTAATCCCAGGAGAGGCAGTCAATCTCTGCAACCTGATCTTAAATAAAAGAAGCTAGAAATTGCAACAGCCTTTACCTAACTCTATGAGATAGTAACCTTGTTATTCTCAAGATTTTACAGCTAATGTACTGCAGAAATAGGAACAGAACCAGGTCTGTAAATTAGCTGTTTTTACAATTAAAACGTATTCAACTCTTGTGGCCTATCTTGATGTGAATTTGAACAAACAGTAGTGTTAGATTACCATGCTATTTGCTTTGACATTTAGGCATGAGTTACTTAAGGTTGCCCAAATCCAGATATTTGCCTTCTATTATTCTAGTTCTGTAAACATACTAATCTTTAAATGAACTTCAAAACTAACAAATAGCTCATCTGAAAATTCAGTGAAATAAGCCTAGATTAGAGTCGTGCCATTGAAGGTTAAAATACCATCGAAGCGCCCTCCCCCACCCCGTTTTAATCCTGTTCTTTTCTTTGCTGACCTGTTTGGTTTGTGGTAGTCATGATATTATGAGAAGGAATGTCTGCTTAGGAGCACTGGGCATTACGGTTCTCTTGAGGTACAGTGTGGGAATGTTGAGGTCCTCCTGTTCACATTAATCATTCAGCCATTCATCTTCCTCCCACCTTTCCCCATTCTCAAATATTCTTAGTAGATACTTGATGACAATGAGCCGTGCTCAAAACTAATGTGCTGAGACACCGTATTAGTCTAACCTGCTGTATGGAGAAATTGTTAAGGACATTGCTCCTCATCCCAAATGATACCATGTGTCAGTTACATACTTATCCTAAATGATGTAGGTACCCAGTCGTATGTATTGCTGTACCTTTAAGGCACTTTCAGAATTGCTGAGGTTGTATCTGGATTGGTGGAGTCCATGTCTACCATGCACAAAGTCCTGGATTCAAACCCCATTACCACCTAAAACTGGGTGTGGTGATGCATGCTGGGTAAACCCCAGCACTTGGGAAGGGTAGGAGCCAGAGCATAGCAAGGTCAAGGCCCTGTTGGGACCTTGCCTTAAAATAAATAAATAAAAAGGTAGAGTAGGGGCTGGAGAGATGGCTCAGAGGTTAAGAGCACTGACTGTTCTTCCAGAGGTCCTGAGTTCAATTCCCAGCAACCATATGGTGGCTCACAGCCATCCGTTATGAGATTTGGTGCCCTCTTCTGGTGTGCAGATATACATAAAAGCAGAATGTTATATACATAATAAATAAAAAAATCTTTAAAAAAAAAAGGTAGAGTAAAATTAAAGAACATAATGACTGCTCACAAATGTGCACATACTTTTTAATTTAACAAACC